ATGGGGGGGTCTTTTCTCCAACCTCCCTCAGAAGCCGGCCCGAATTCACTCGCTCGCACGGACGCGGGGGCCGAGCGCACAGCGACCCGCGCCGCCGCGGACCGGCGGTGCCGGCAGGGGGTCGGGGGTCCGCGGCGACGACCCGTCGGCGACAAGTCACCGGCCAACGGCGGCGGCCGGAGGCGGCGGCAGGGACCCCGGGAGGCGGGCGACACCAAACCCAACGCACGCGAGCACGCTCACACGCGGACACCGCCGGCACAGAGCGGACAGGGCCAGGCACGGGAACCGGGGTCGCGCCGGGCACGCGGCGGCGACACGCCGAGAGAGCACAACACCCCGGATCCGGGACAGGGGCGGGGACGAAGCCACACGGCTCGAGACGGAGGAGACGATGCGATGCGGGCAAGCCTACACACGGCAAAGCGGGAGGGAGGCGCGGGAACCCGGGACAACATCGCGCAGGCACGCGAGGCGGCACCCAGCGGGAGGAGGCACGTCGTGACGCCGGCTTCAGGCCCCTCGGACGGCCAACTCCCGAGCGAGGGACGCACGCGGGAATTCTCACCACCATCGCCCCCGTGGCGTACCGGCGGTCCCGCTGGCAGGAACCCTCGTCGTGAGCAAAACCGATCCGGGAAGACCCTTCAAAAGCCACCGCCGCCGCGACGACGTGCCTCCCCCACACCGGGGGAGCAGCCTCACGAGCTGAGCGCCGTCCCCCCCCCCACGAGAACACCAACACAACGCCCGACTCGACCGTCCGCCGGTGGCCGGCCACCAGGCCAAACCAGCGAGGATCGCGGAAGGCTGATGCGGGTGAGGAGGGCACGCCGGAAGCACAAGAGCAGCAGCGGGAGGGTCACCGGGTCGGGTCACCGGGGCGAGAGGCGAGTGAGCGAGCGGCCACCCCCTCACACGGGCGGGTGGCGCAGCCGCAGACCAACGGGGAGGTGGGACCTTTCCGGGCACAGCCGGCACGCCAGGTAAACGAACGCGGGATCTCACCACCCCCAACTCCGGGGCGGTCCCGCGCAACGCCTGGGACACCGAGCCGGCCGACCAGCGGACCGGAAACCCCCACCGCGGCAGCGGCGGGCCCCCCAAAAGAGGCCCGAGAGGGAAAAGGCAGCTCTCGCACACACCTCAAAGACCCCGTGAACGCCCGCGGAGCCGCCCGCGCCAGCAGGGCCCCACCGCCTCCATCCACACCACACCGCCGGGCACAGCACCCATCATCGACCGCCTCTTTTTCGGCCGCGTGAGCAAGGGCCCACACACACCGGGATCCTCGGCTCCGGGGGGCCAGAACCCCCCCGAGCGGCGCACCACCACGGGCACGGCGGCCCCGGAACACCGCGGGGCCCAGCGCCCGCACGGCGCCGTCGTCGCCAACGGGCGGCGGCCCACACAGACGCTCGGGAACAGCGTCGCCAGGGGCCGGAGGGGGAGGGGGACGGGACCCCCAAAAACCCCACGGCAACCCAAGCACGAGGCCGGGAAGCCACACACCACACGCCCTCGCATCGCGACACGGCACGGGCTCCAGGCTCCACCACTCGACACACCGCACGCGAGGCAGGGGCGGGGACGGATCGGGAACGTCCTCCACTCACCACACCAGACGACGGCCCGGGAGAGGTCCCGCGGGACCCTCCCCCAGCTCGGAGGGGGGAGGCGCGGGCACGCAGTTTACCGACGCGGGCAGCCACTAGCGCTCAAAAGCGGGGCAGGGAGCGGCAGGGCCGCGGGAGCCCATCGGGGGGCGGGCCCCCGGCCAACCCAGCAGCGCACGCCGCTTCCCGAACGAGGATCGCTAGAGAACCCCTCCTCACTCTGAGGGTGGCCCGCACCCAACCCCGACGGGAACCCCGCCGGGAACCAGCACACATCAGAGGCGTCCATCCTTCCCACCACGGGGGGCAGGGAGGGGTGGGGCACAGGGGGGGGTCTGCGGCAGCAGCAACACCAACCCTGGTCGGTCGGCCTTGCCGTGCGGGGCCAGAGCAAAGTCGCGCACACGGGCGGGAAGCCCGCACGGGCCCCGCTCGCCTCCCACTGCAACATCTCAGGTCCCCCGGTGCGATGAAAGCCAGGTGACACGGCAGGGAAGACAAGCCAGGACCAGGGCGGCAGCTCATGCGGGGAAGCCACCGCCCAGCGCAACAAGGGAAGAGCGCTCCCCTCTGGGGAACCGCCTCGACCCCCCCCAGCAGAGACGTCAATCTCAACGGTAACTTCTCACTCGCACAAAAGCCCCACGAACCCGAGGACGGCCGGGACACACCACGGGCAGCAGGCTGGCACAAGGCAGCGGACAACGCCAGGATCGGGAACGACACCACCACTCAGCCTCAGGCACCTGAGAGAACCAACCGGGAGCGTTCCGGGAGCACCGCAAGAGGGCAGAGCGCGAGGCGCGGTTTTTCACACTACACAGCACGGGCAAGCACGGAGCACCGACCCTCCCTCTCCGCGGAGAGAGCCGACCCCCGTGCCGATAACAAGTCACGGGAAGAGAGGAGCAAGATCAGGGCGCCCCCCTCCTCCAGCGTGTACAAGTCCCCGACCTCACGGCGAGGGCAGGGAGAGCGCAGCCGGGCCCGGTTGCCGCACCCCCGCCTCCCCGCACACCACCGGCGCCGGCACGGTGGGACGGGTGAGGGCAGGGGCCCACGGGCAGAACGAGAAGAGCGGTCCCATTCGCCATGAATGTCCGTCCCTCGCCTGGCGCAGCTTAGGCCCGGGCCCGAAGGAGATCGCAACGTCACCACATCAATCACACCGAGGGGGGGGGAGAAGGCAGCCACGCGGCACTCGGGAGGCGGTGGCCCAGGGAAAGCTCGGCTCCTGAGAGGGCCAACAGCCTGGGGATAAAAGCGTAGCCAGGACAGACACCCTTCCGTGAGTAAGGAGCGAGGTAAAAAGAAAAAGAAAAAAAAAAAAAAATGAAAAAAATACCACGGGGCTTAAGCGTCCCTGGCACTCGGGATAGCCAGGACACCTCTGCCGGGCACAGGACCGAAGAAGCTAGAAAGGGAGGGAAAAAAAAGAAAAAAAAAAAAAAAAAGAAAAAGAAAAAAAGCCACGGACAGCGCTCGGGAGGTAGCGCAGCTCAGCGGCCGACCAGGCCCCGCCATCGGGAAGCGGCAGGTCGGGGGAGTTGGAGCTAGGGGCGATAGGAGGAAGGAAAAAAAAAAAAAGCCACGGAGGTCGGGCGAGCCCAACGGCAGAACGGGGATGCCGCACACGCAAGGCAGGACTCGGCGGCGGCGGCCCGGCGGCCCCCCCCCTTTTTCCTCCTCAGGCCGGCCACGGCGAGGGAAGCACACCGTGCGGGCCCTACCTATGCACACCCCAGGCAACCAACCACTCTCCTCCTCAGCGTGCCGAGGCAAGGGCCAGAATCCGGCACCGGGAGCGGGGGAGAGATCAAGGACGACGGGACTCACTCAGCTGCCAACCACCACCACACCCACGAGCCACCACAGGGACACAGGGCCTGCTCAGGGCAGCGGGAGCCCAGGGTGTGAGGGGAAGGACAGGGGGACCCGGACCGGGAAGAGACGGGAAAGGCCCGGCACACAGCACCCGAGAGAGCCCCCAGAGACCCGCTGACAGCCACCGGGACACAGCATGCCAGCACCCTCCTGCAGGTACAAAATCCTCACGTCACCACGCCAAAACCAGGTCGTCAGGCAGGGGCGACAACTCGCTGGCGACAGGGACCTCTCGGAAACCACATCAGGGACACCTGTCCCCAACACGTCCCCAACAGAGCCAGACACGGAACTCTCAGGGACAGCTGGTCGACCACATAAGGCGAAGACAGACGAAGAGCCAGGGCGGGAGCGGGGTCAAGGGACGCTCCCGCCCCACTACCTCGCAGGCACACACCCCGGGTGTGCACGGGCTCACCGCACGGGCGGTACGGGGAGCCTTCCCCCGGCAGACGCGAGGCACCCACTCCGAGAGGCACCCAACCACCACACCCACACCGCGCGGGGTCGGTGGTGAGCGCCCTGCCGCCAGCACGCACACACCCGGGACTCCCGGGCTCGGGTCCCCGACTCCCGAGGTGCTCCCTCCGCCTCGAGTTTTCCCCTACGCAGGGCCCACCGGGCAAGTCCCCGCAGATGGTAGGTAGGTCCCGGCCCCGAGGCTCGCCTCGGCCGTGCCCGCGGCTCCTCCCGCCGGAGAGGTCTGTCCTCCGGCCTCCGGGGCCGTGGAGGAGGCCGTGGAGGGAGGCCACACGGGGCCGGCGACCCAGGCCCTCGCTCCCGGCACGCGCCAAGCGCTCACTCGGAGGTGACTCCGACGACCATCCTATGTCGGGGATGGGGGGGGCGTAGGTCCCGGCCCCGAGGCTCGCCTCGGCCGTGCCCACGGCTCCTCCCGCCGGAGAGGTCTGTCCTCCGGCCTCCGGGGCCGTGGAGGAGGCCGTGGAGGGAGGCCACACGGGGCCGGCGACCCAGGCCCTCGCGCCCGGCACGCGCCAAGCGCTCACTCGGAGGTGACTCCGGGGAGGGGGGGGGGTCCGAGTCCGGGCCGGGACCGGCCCCACCACCTATCGGCTCACCCGGGGACCCTCTCCCCCGACTCCCGAGACGTCCCTCGTACTCTCCTTTTTTCGCCCTCAAAGACCAGAGTCCAGGGAGGGGAGGAGGACAAGGCGTCGGGCCCAGACAGAACTACTGGTCGACCCGACAAAGCTGCCACCCCCCGCACAGACCGGGCACCGAAGAGAGAGCGGCGACGCACGGCCCCACCCCGCGCTCGCCTGCGGGCGCAAAGTCCGACAGAACAGCCGCCCCGGCGCCACAGCGACACCACGGCGACAGTCGCGCCCGGCACCCGGCAGAGGCCGGGCCTCCGCCCGGCTCGCTGCCGCCAGACCTCCTCCTCCTCCACTCGCTCGCTCGGCTGAGAACGAGGGGACTGTCATATCAAAGCGGACGCCAGGGGGAGCACGACAACCGCCTTCCAACGACCGACTCCACCGAGCCGCCGTACCCCGGATCGGCGCGCGCCGGCCGGCTCTGAGCTCCGGAGACACAGAACACGGAAACAAATCGCCTCACTCACCACCGCCACGCACCGAGTGGCACAACCTAGGTCAGGACCTGCAGCCGGGTCCTCTCTGCGACCTCACGAACGACACCAGAGCCACCAGAGACCTAGACCGAGATCGGGCCGCCGCCGCCGCCGCCGCCGCCGCCGCCGCCGCCGCCGCCGCCGCCAGCGACCAAAGTGAAACCAGGAACCAGGACGAGATTCGCCCGAACGGAGCGGCCCGAACCCGAGAACCGGGAAGCTGGGATCGGTCCCAAGCAGGAAGGGGCGGCAAAGACGGCAGGCCCGCACCACGAGAGAAAACGAACCGGCCACCCGCACGACCTCCGCCGCCCGTGGCAAGACCCCCACCCCCGCCCAACATGGCCAGAAAAGGGCAAGTGAGCGCTCGTCCCACCGTCTGCCTGCCCGTCTTTTTTTTTTTTTTTTTTTTTGGGGGGGGGGGTGGGGGGGGGTTGTTTGTACGTTTTGTTTTCTTTTTCCCCCAGATGGAAACCAGAAAGAGAAGAAAAAAAAAAAAAAAAACTCCCAAAGATGGGTCGGCTCCAGCAAGAGACGAGCCGTCGGGAGGCACCCCGCTCACTTGTGAAAGTCCGCTCCTCGCCCGCCCCACAACACACTCCCTCCCCCCGCCCCCACCCGCCACCCCTCACAGGCAGGGAAAGGGCAGGGGGAAGGCCAGAGAGAGGTTTCTTCTAACACACAGAGAGTAGCTACGTCACGCACACAGGTCTGGAAAACCACGGTGACCGTGCAATGGGAAGCGTGAGTCCACTCACCCATCACCGAATGACAGGAAAGCCAAACGAGAGCCGCTGCTGGCTGGGTGGGGAAGGAAGGGGAGGTGGCACCCGTGTGACGCTTATCCCCGGGCACCGCACCGGACGGAACGACCTTCTCACCGGTT